TGTGGAAACATATTAATTTGATCAATGACATTTTTGGTTTACTACTTATTTTGATTGGTCTATTAGTATGTTGACCTTGCTGATCAACACAAGTTGAAATTATGATGATTAGTACTTTAATAGTTTTCAGAAATCTTAATCTTAATATAATATTCTAAACGCGAAAGTTTGTAAGTATGGATCTTTGTTGCCCTTTCACGCAAAAACTACTGAATGGATTTTTACGAAACTTTACACTAATATAGCTTATGCATCTGAATAACACAGCATATATTTTTTATTGAAATTTAACGCGGGTGAAACCGCGGGCACAGCTAGTAATTTATAACAAAGTAACGTTTGCGGGATCAGCTAGTATCTATTATGAGCAGTGGGAATTAATATTGAATATTATTAGCTAGCAGTATAAGGTACATTCAGTTCTACTCGGTCCATCCTGGAAACCATCGTAGTTCCATCGTAATTCCTATTAGACCTATAATAAGATTCACTGCCAATTGTATATTCGTTTATTCATATTTAAATAGAAGTATACTTTTTATCTATTGTTTTTATATACACTTCTATCAATTCGCTCTGCTATGGTAAATGTCTAAAAGCAGATCGATTTTTCTATCATTTATTATTACTATGCCTGGCAAATTCACCTGATCTCCTGCTCCTCCTATCATCCATCATTGGTGCGCCGTCAGCTTATACAATTAGCTAAAAATAGTTTATTTTTTACTTAATTTTAATTACATGAACGTATTCATAATTTTTTTTTCTTGTAAATAGCATGTATTCAAAATTACCCAATGTTGCGGGTGAATATTAAGATGTTGCTGGTCGAGACGATGTATATTACTGATGATGATGAACTGACAATATGTACATAAAAATAATGATCTTATATACTAAATAAAAGTAGGAAAATGTAAGGTGGGGTGACACAGTTTAGATACAGCAGTGCCTAGTAGACAATATTGAAATTGTCTTACTAGACATTATTAAATGCAATTATTATTTTGATGTATCTAGGTGACTGTGTCCCATAGATATTCCCCCCTTGAGAGAAAAAAAATATATATATATTACACACAAAAAAATTATAAAAGTTAACTGTAAAATTTAAGATATTATGCACTTTAGTAACAATAAAAATTCATTATACCCAAATAACGACGTAAATCTTCGACTGTCGTGGGTTTAGGGTACTCGTCGATTGCTTGCCATTTTTCTTGCGTTGGTTTCATCCCTTGGCTCGTTATATGATAACCAAGAAAATCTAACTCATTTGTGAAGAACTCGCATTTGCTCATATTAATTGTTTGCGGCGAATAATTTGATTTCGCTAGCGCTCTCTTTGGTCTGTGCTTGTTTTTTATTCACCGAGATTTTTGCTTTCGGTGTCCACCAAAATTCTATAGCCACTGTTAGAGTCGGTTATAGCTAGGCGGTTAGACGGATGAACAGCACAGCGTTCCGTCTTATTCTGCGTCGAATCTAGTTTTCCGACGGTTGTCTATAGGAGCGCGGCATGTCACGTTTGTATGCCTTTTCTTTATATTTGCGATGATATAATATAAATAATAGTCATTTTTCTGACTACGCAATGACCGTAGGTGCGAATTTGACCTAGATCGGTAGTTGCTGCGTCTGTTTGTGTGTGGCGAGCGCTTTTCGCGTATATCAGCAATTTCTGATCGCAGTGTCGCAATTAGTGACGACAGGTGTGCAATGACGTCGGCGGTGACTGTTGGCTGTACTTTTGTAGACAGCATTTTTGCTTTATTTTTCCAGTTTCAATTTTTCGTCCAGAGATTATATCCAGCAGGCAGTTGTGTTTACTGGGGGTCAGTAGCACGGCAGGATCCTTGTTGCGCAGTATTGCCAACGACTTTTATGCCTCTTGAATTTCCGAGCCGGTGAGACACGCTTCTGGGAAGCCGGTGGAAATGTGTAATCGTTGGTGGTGCGCAGGATGCCGTCAGACAGAGATTTCTTGTTTGATCTCGTCGTTTTCCCAGGTATCGTCTCGACCACGTCGGCCAGATCACGTCGGGCAGATCACGTCGGGGTCACCACTGTTGCGGGTGAATAATAAGATGTTGCTGGTCGAGACGATGTATATTACAGATGATGATAAACTGACAATATGTACATAAAAATAATGATCTTATATACTAAATAAAAGTAGGAAAATGTAAGGTGGGGTGACACAGTTTAGATACAGCAGTGCCTAGTAGACAATATTGAAATTGTCTTACTAGACATTATTAAATGCAATTATTATTTTGATGTATCTAGGTGACTGTGTCCCATACCCAACATCAGGTATGAAATGTTACGTGTAATAAAGAAGTAACTACAACTACACTTTACGCATTGTGAAGTTTTGCTGGGCGGAAAGTATGTAACAATAATCACACATAAACTATCAGCTAAAAGTTTCGTAGAAGAAGTAAGTAATTAGAATTACACAATAGTCCTAGATTGTAAGATATAGGAACAAGTATTTAAGTATATTTACGTTATAGATTTTCTTGTAAATCTTCTTTTAAAATTTACGTAAATACAATTATGACTTTATGAGCGGGATAATTGTAAAGCGAATAAATGCAAATACGCATACCTCTATTTTATGCTGGAATTTTATGTTTTCTAAAGTCGCAAAATTTTAGTATTTTTGCATTTATTCCTTCATTTTTGTCGATAGCTTCATGAGATTTTGACAAAAGGTGTAAACCGTGAAGCTCGATTTATTTATGTAATAAAACATTTTTGACGCAAGTGTAGTTGCGGCCTTTTTACACGGGATGTGCGATATATTAGTGATAATAAATTCAACAAATATAATAATATTAACATCTCAAGGCAATTCACACAGCGCCATCTAGTCACTAACTAAGCAGAACTTATGTTATGGGTAGTTATATAACCTACTAGACAACTAATACATTACATAGATAATATATGTACATAGGTGCACTATACAATCATCATTCATCATTGACAACCTCGGTGGTCTAGCGGACTAGCACACCGCTTTACGTCCGATGATCGCGGGTTCGATTCCTCGCACGACACAAACATTTGTATTTACGAGTATGATTGTTTGTATTGGTCGGGGTGTTTCCTATGTATAATGAGTATGTATTTACGAAAAGAAAAATATATCTAAGTACTTGTATCAGCTATCTAGTACCCATAACACAAGCTTTAGCTAGCTTAACTTGGGTCTAGATGGCGCTGTGTGAATTGTCCTGAGATTATTATTATTATTATATTATTCCTAAAATACAAAAATTATACGTTCTAGAGAGTTCAACACACAAAAGGTGGTTTTATCACAAGCAAGCAATCTCTTCGAAACCTTTAGAGAAAAATCAACAAAAAGTGGTAAATAACGTAAATGTAAATTATATTTATTTACAAACGTTGAAAAGTTAGATCAGAGTTAGCGATTGACATGTACAAAGCACGATCGAGAGGTCAAGCACTGACGAGTGGCTTTCGATGCTGACATTTCACTATTCAACTGCTTTACTTGTATAGCCGAGTGCAGCATTTGTGAAATTGTTATTTTCTTTGCTTATTTAATAGATCGTTAGATATTTAATGTCGTGACATAATGTTGAATCGTTTATTATATTTGTATTAAATTTATATGAATCTTTAAACATTATAGCAAAACAGGTTGTAACAAAATTCGGTAAAGATTTGTAAATACTCAAATTCAAATTCAAAATATCTTTTTCATGTAGGTCTATTGCAGACTCTTATGATATGTCAAATCTACCGTCAGTTCGGAATGATTTCGAGATGAGAAGAACTGACAAGAAACTCAGCTCGTATTTTATTTTAATGTTGTACATATTTACAATTATACTATTTCATGTAAATTCAAATTTGGGAGAATAGAGTGACCACCAACATATGCTATATAAAAAAAAACAAAAAATCTAATAAATATCCTTGATTAATTCAAACTCATTCTCACACACATACTCACAAGCGTCATCTAGTCCAAAACTAGGCAGAGTATGTATGGAACAAACACTGCTTAGCTTAGAACTGAACTGTTAGGTTTCACCCGCAAGAAATTTATAGTCCATGTATTATTCTGATATACAAGCTACATGCACTGTAAAGTTTCATCAATATCTGTTCAATAGTTTTTGAGTGAAAGAATATTCCATAAACTATCCATAGTCACTCATTTTGCATTTATTATATTATATATATACAGTTGGATCATAATAATAGTTTTTTGCATCGTGCTAGATATCGTACATCCAATTATTGAGGCAGTGTGCAAAAAATTTAGGGTTGCATGTATTTTTAATGACATATAATAAAAAAAAAATTGCACTAAAAAAAAAATGTTAGGGGTGGACAATCCTTATCACTTAGGGATATGAAAAATAGATAGTAGCCAATTCTGAATATGCATATAATGCATATGCATATCTCGAGACCTACTGAATATGCATATAAAATTTCATAAAAATAGGTCAAGCCGTTACAGAGGAGTATAGTAACTAACATTGAAACACGAGAATTTTATATATAAGATATAGACGTATATAGTTCTTATAGATCAAGTAAAGTTGTTACATAAATATATATCACCTCATTATAACATTAGTATAGATCCCTGGAAACCATCGTGATAAATTCATGGTGAGTTTACCACGATTCGCTAACTGACCTGACCTCATACTCGTTTTATCATCTTCCACTGGTGGCCCGCCAGCATAACCATTATCATATATGACATACAAGAAATATAGTGCCTAGAGATTTTGATACACTAAAGGTGCTCTTATCGCAAGCAAGCAATATGTTCAAGACATTTGGGTGGACAAATAGCGACAAAAAGTGGTAGATCACAGATGAAACTGATAGCGCAGGCGGGTGCACCATTCTATTATCATCCATAAGAAAAAAACATTGTATAGATATATGTATCTTTATGTACATATTATATATACTTTTTCCGAGTGTCACCTCAGTTGTTATAAGGCAACATTGATGCTTTTATGGGAAAATACGAGCCACGCCATGACAGCACGTCTCGATGTGCATTCCATATGCATTTGCCTGTAGACTGCCTCAACTATTTATGGAATTTGAGTATATGATATTCGAGGTTCCAGAGGAATTCTGTTTGTGTGTAATTTAATAGTTTGGCACTTGGGAATAAAGGCGGACACACATTACAACACAGCGCGTTTTTTTCTTTCTGAATGAGCGGTAAATTTTAAAACATAAGTATGACTATTCATAAGAGCTTATTTTTTAGTTTATTTGAATAAAGAATTTTCTATTCTTCTGTGTCACGGTTTAGTGAATTTGGTTTTCTATGGAGCTAAATCAATTAAATGAGAGTTCTCCGCTTAGTCTAATTATAGTTGCATAAATATATTTTGTAGAAATGGATAGAATTTCAAAGTTGGAAAGTGGCATAGTAAGGAATATGTACACAGACAACTTGTTAACAGCCTTAACAGATTTTGTAAGTTCATATTTTTCACATTAAAAAGTAGCCTATGTCCGATCTGAGGATCAAGACTATCTGAGTAACAAATTACATTTAAATCAGTTCAATAGTTGGGGATTATAAGCGTAATAGACTGATATATCTATATTCGCGTTTATAATATAACTAATTGTGTCCGCTATTTTTAATAAAGAAAAAATACTTAATAATCTCAACCAAAAATGCCAAGAAAAAAAGTTTCATCATGAGTAGCCTATGTCCTTTCTAAAGGTCATTGACACTCTAGACTACTGATAATATTATTGGGAGACAAGATATAGGTTTATTGGTAGATAAGACGGGCAATACGATCCACCTTCACAAATTTGTAAGGCGCATCACAGAACACCAATATCCTAACGGAAAGAATGTCAACTCCATACAAAAAAAATGGCATAAAAATTAACGATAGTGCTGACCTCTCACGGTGTCCCCCAGGCAACATTCATAGATCATGGCCTAGCGGGAAAACTCAAACGTCAATAAGAAAATAAAGGAGCCTACTGTATTACAGATATAAATTCAAGCCGTTTATGACTTGAGTTTATATCTGTAATATGAATAATAAAAAGCACGATATAAAGTGTATATTTATTGTTAGATTTTCATTCAAACAAAATACATCAGTAGTGTGAACAGGTGTACAGAGACATTATGTAATAGGTAACAAATAAATTTTGATTTTTTGATTTTTATTATATGATTGTATTATAATAATTAAGAGATTGTCGGAAGAAACGTCGAATTATATAATTTTTACAAATGTTGTAAAATTATTTTTTTCTTAAAAATCGACGTTTCTTCCGAAAAAAATTTATTATATATCTCTTAATTATTATATAACTTTTGATAATATAATTTGTGTTTTTGTGCTCCATACATTCATTTAAAAAATCAAAATTTATTTTTTCCTTTATTACAGTTATTATATTTTTCATTAATCCTTTTTTATGTGCATTTATTTTTAAATAAGTATTCACTATCGTTGCACAGTTTTCCACACACATTACAAAGTTTTTATTTGCATAATTTAATACTTGCTTTAAATCATTGTATTCTTTAAATGTATTAAAGGTGTGCATTATTGACTGCTCTGTGGTGGTAAAAATTAATTTGCAAGCATTGCACTCATGTTTGAATTTTTTAATAATGAACCCACACACATAAGTGCAAGCTTGTATTTCGCCACTACATTCTTCTAAAATGTTTTCATCAATATCATTAAACGCCGATTGGTTAGAAGATATTGGATCAGCCGCAGTGTCGGCAATCTGTTGAGTGTTTCGTACACAAGGCTTCAAAAAAGATTTAAAATTATTAATTATGGTCTCATTTTGGTCCATTTCACAGTTACCTCCACCCATCTGGGAAAGATTACTTAAAATAGCAGTTTTTAAGCCTGCTTTAAATTGGCCACTAGTTGGATTGTGATTACTACCACAATTTCCTCTAATACATCCAAATAAATTTTCAAGTGGATCTTGTTGTAATCTTCTAGTGGCCAAACTTTTTATAGTATTGTGTTTCTGTCGTAATACATTCCATAATCTTTCAACTCCATTAAGAGTCCACACCCAACCTTCCTGTGAAGGTGGTTTTCGTGAAGACCCAATAAATGATATGTTTTTAAAAAATAATTTCATTTCATTAATGAAGGTAATGTGTGTCGTAGAACATTTCGTATTTGTTGCTAAAGGCTTTCCTCTCCGCAAATCTGCCGTGTCGCTATTTAATGTATCGAAGAGCTTGTCCATTTTTGCGATTACGTTAGCCGTCACGACAGCTTCTGGAGTCAATCCTATAATATGTAACAGAAAAATATCAATTTAATGTTTGACATTTACATAGTATAAAGTAGAATCAAGATTTATTTTTTGTCCAGATAAAAGAGAATAAGGAAAATAAAGTACTATCTTTGGTGAAGCAACACCAAGTAAAGACAATATTTTGTTATTTTTTTCATATATTATTTTGCATTATGTTTTTGAAGGCCTCTGTGGTCTAGTAGATTAGCACTTCGCCTTGCTTTTGATTGTCACAAACATAATACAAATCAGTATGACCTACGAGTATGTCTAGTACCCATAAAACAAACAACATGGCTCTGTGTGAATTCTCCTGGGGTTATTGTTATTATTATATCGGGTAAATTAAATAAAGCAGAAAAAAAACTAATGTCAATTAACCTAACGGTTTACTTTATGGTAAATGGTAATTATCATGTATATATGACACCTATCATAGCACTCATGCTTTTCCATTCCCGAAAACTAAGATGTCATGCCTCTTATTCTGCAATTTCAGTGCCAAGTGAAGACATCTTACAAAACAAGTTGCATGGCAGCTCAAATAGGTGAGGCGGATATACTCGTGCAGACGCAGACAATATTAAGTCCATTTTTAAATGATAATTTTTAATTCAGAAATTAAACAGAAGTATCAACAATTAAACAAAATTACCTTGAGATATTTTGGCATACATTCCTGCCGCTACTGTATGACTTAAAATTTGTACTGCCAATTTTACTTGCATTTTTTGTTTTGCATTTGGATTCAAGTGTTCTTTTTTAATACAGGGCGCGAACACAAAATTAGTATTAGAGTTGTCTAGTTCATAAAACTGGACAATATGACTCCACTTTGCTATACCTGAAAAAATATTAGTAAATTATGATTAAAACAGTTTAAAATAAACTACCTTGGTATATTAATCTTAAACATGCATGTACATAGAAATTGAAATTGTTTTAAGTTAATTAGGAAATTTAATTCATAATAATTAACATATAATAAATTATAGTCAAGTCATATACCTGTTCCCTGTTCTCCTTGATCGGATGTTATATCTGTGTTACATTTAATATCATACTTCAAAAATAAATTTCTGAAGCACTTAATTAAATGAGGGGTATCAAATAGTGCAACAATTTCCTTGTCATTTAATTTAAAACAAGGGCAATTTGCAGTAGCCCCCAAGATTGATAGGGCTTTTCTGTTTACGCCATCCATATCACACACAGTAGCAGAGATATTAATATTATGCTCTTGACATTGTCCAATAACCTGAAAACAAAACATTACTATTTTAGAAACCTATGCAAAAGATACTATATAATACATTTTTTTTAAGTGAACTGATTTCTGCATGTTGGTAATAATTCTTAGGTCTTATACATTTGTCCATTATATATAAAAAAATGCAAAGTATAAATATGTGGACTGATGATTTTACAGCAGATGCAACAAAAATTGAAATAATGAAAATTGCACAAGTTTTTATTTAAAAAAATTCAATATTTATCGATTTTTTATATTATTACCATATAACACAAATTTTTATTAAATTGTGGTTAAATAAAGTAAAATAGTAAATATTGGGTTTACCTCTTTTATCAAAACTGTTAATCTATCAGCACTAACTGTGGAGCTAGATAAATAATAGGCAATTGGTTGTTTAATTTTTCTTCTAATGCCTGCAATCATGAATACTAATGCATGTGTAGCTAGTTGCGAGGATCTGCCTTGCACCCCATGGTCTTGAAAGCCTTCAATTTCATCATGTTTAACATAGTAATAAAGATGCTTTTTTATTGACATTTCATCAAACATGAGAACAAACTCATTCACTTCAGGTTCTTGTTTAGAAATGTATTTGTTAATAATTTCAAATAATTGTTGGTTTATGCCAACATTCATTGAACATTTACTTAATAAAACTTTTAAAGTTGTAGGTGCAGGAAGACAAAACATTCTTCTTAATAGTCTATAGCAGGTCGGGGACCTCTTATATAGTCTGAGGGCTATAATTTTGTCTTCAGTAGTCCACCTGCGACCCTTGGCATGTTTTTTAAAATTTTTCAGTTGCGCATGCAACAATAATGAAAATGTGGGACTTATTTTATTTGCCAGTTTCCTAATTCCTTCATCAGAATTAAATTTTTGTAAATATTTATTATTATTCATACATTTTTTTTTTTTTTTAATTGGCAGATATTTCTCATATATTGTTTGCATTTCATATATGCTCGGTCTTCATTTTTTCTAACTCCACCTGTACTGGCATTTGATGTACCAGGTAAGACTAATGGTCCTTGTATGTTTGAAGGTCCTGGTACATTTGAGGATTCAGTAAAGATTTCTCTGCTCATGCAAGTATTTGTTATATCAGATGGACCTGCTCTCGTATCCATATTGACTGACAAAAATGGCAAGGTCACCAGCTACAAACAAATACAAGTATTTTTTTAGGAATTATATAATATATACTATGCATATAAAAGAGCTGTTCACGGACTATTATGCCATAATTGTCTATAATAGACCCATAGGCCATTATATATATACTATAAAATTTAAGTTTGTTAAGGATAATAATGTGTTTGAAGAAAAACTTAATATTCATAGTGCTGACAATGTTACCCGATTGCAATATATAAGAATGAGTACATAGCAGTTTCTATATTGATTATTGCATTCCTTACTTGTTAATGTGTAATTATTTATATAAAAAAATCTATTCAAAAGAGCAACATGCAAGTTTCTCTCTCATTCTTCTTGTGATGAATCTGCATTCCAAAAGAGTGGTAGAATAAAAACTATGAGTATTCAGAAGTGCTTGAATTGAGTTTATATGAATAAGGATTATTTCTATTTCTATAATTAAAAAATAAACATAGGAAAATCCAAATTAACAATTGTGCAACAAATAATAATAAGTTTTATAGTTTTACCAACCTCTACATCTGGAGAAGCAAAACGTCTCAATTTCTTTGATGCAAAATCCACAAAAGCAGATTCTTTAAAATGCCGATGACATAGCATTCTATGTTCTGAATAAAGTTTTGACTGGAAGCTGACTGAAGACCATTGTTTATCTGGACAGCAATATTTAGCCCATAATTCGCAACTGTAATACAAATATGAATCAATTTAGAATAATATGTCTTCACAATCATGGTAGTCAATTAAAACATATTATTTAAACAAACATAATATATTACTACAAATAATAATATTCAATAGCACCTTAGTATACTCTAGTCTTAGTCATTAGGCCTAATTTGTTTTTGAAACTTGATAATATTTTGATTTATTTGGTACATTATCTCTATAATAGGAAGTCGCTTCTTCTATCTGTTCGCTTATATTTTAATGCAGTTTTTAACAATAGATAGAGTCATTCAAAAGGAAGGCTTCTATATATAATACATGTATATCCATGCGATGCCGGTGCGGGAACTAGTGGGCAATAAATATCTAAGATAAGATTTTATTACAATACAGTATTAGCATTTAAATATGCATGTTAATGTTTTTGAGGAGAAATAAATAAAATTATTAATTAACATTTAAAAGGCACTTACCGAGTAACATTTGTAGAGCCAGGTTTTGGAAACCTAAATAATACTGTTTCAGGATTATCGGCAGGCGATGAACCACACTTAAGGCACTTCCTCTTGTTCTCCTTCATTGTAAAACAACGGTCCAACCAATTACAACAACTAACTTGATAATTTAAACGAAATAACAAGAAAGTCACGAATTATAGTTTATTACCAGGATAAACACAAACTAAATACATGTATCTAACAATTACGGAGGAATCTATAAAGACTCAACTCAACGTAAGGGTAGAACTGTAAAAGATGGTGAAATATCCAGTAATAAAACAAAAGATGAAAAGTTCAAAAAGAAATTCAAAAAATTATGACGACGTAAGATGGCGGGCATAAACTTTCTGAGTTGCCAGCAGTCAGCAAAAAAATAACTAAAATGAATATAAAAGTAGTAACTTTTTACATTCTATGTATATCTCATAGATATTAAATAAATCTGTAATTATAATAATAGAAATTTCAAAAATGAAAGATTATTGGTTTAATCATATTTTATAATTATAATTTTCATTGGTTTACGTGTTTTACATAAATTATTTAGTTATAATTTTTAGCCTATTTTTTCAGTATACCGCCCTTAATATACATTTGTTTTATTTTTGATGGACTAGGAGAAAAGCTCTGGTATAATTTCTAAATGATAATTAATTATATCGTTATGATATTCTTAAAATGTTAATAAGTTGCCTTTTGAAATAATATCATAACTGGATAATAAAATCTCTAATAATGGCAACATAAGTCTGCCCCCCTTAGGTATTCTTTACGCCCCATACAAAGACGACAGGGCCTGAGGCGCATAACCAACATTACCCACAAGTGTACCAAGTTTCACTTAAATCAGTATAGCAGTTTAGGCGTAAAAGCGTAACAGACAAAGTTATCTTCGCGTTTATAATATTGTATTATGTTCTAGTATATACGATGAATGGCACCGATTCGTCTGTATCCCATTATGAATGAAACCCAACCTGCACGGTAATACAATTTGGCCGCCACCCAAGCTCCATGTCTGCCATGGTTTGGAATCACATTACCTATTTGCTGCGGGGACGTCGACTCATGTTTGAACGTCATTGCAAGGCCACTCCTGTCACATTATGCGAATAAGTAATGTGCTAAATTTAGCCATCTGCCATCCATACCAATGGAAGGGACATAGGATATCTTTTATGTTGATAAAAACAGTCCAAGTCGCGGAAAATATCTAGCTACTAAATATTGGTTTGTAAAGGATATATTTATTTTTTAAGAGCTTGAAATCAACCATTTCATATTCTGAACACAATATTATCACGTTTATGCTTTTTTTTTAAAGCTTTATTGTCCATGTATTACAATTATAACTAATATTTTAAGTTAGGATTAATTTATTTTCTTTATATATATGGACCATGTGGGTAAAAGCCTCCTCCAATTTGTTCCATTTTCCTCTATTCACAGCCAAGCTTATCCAGTTTTCCCCGGCCACTTCTTTAATGTCATCAGACCATCTCTTTCTCTGTCGACCTACTCGCCTTTTTCCTGACGTTTATGCTTATGTACTAATATTATAAATGCGAAAATAATTATTTCTGTCTGTAGTACTTTCACGCCAAAACTACAGAATATAATTTAAATGAAATTTGGTACACATATAGTTAGACCCGGGTGAAGGACTATTTTTTAATGCGAAAGAAAGGCAGTAAGGGGTTGAAAAGGGCAGATGAAAAGGTTGTTGGACCTATCGTTATTTTCAAAGCTTTAAATTTATTTTTTATACTGTTTATTCATCATCATCATCGCAGACCGGAAGACGTCCACTGCTGGACATAGGCCTCCCCCAAAGATCCACGACGATCGGTCCTGCGCTGCTCGCATCCAATGCCTTCCAGCGATCTTGATCAGATCGTCGGTCCACCTTGCTGGAGGCCTACTGTTGATTAAATATTAATAAATATGAAATTCAAAGTTTGTAAAAATTTTACCCTTTAAGGGGTAAAATTACATTAGGCTACAAAATTTTGTATGTAAATACAAGACTTTTGAGGCTAGAACGATGAATAATTACTTGGCTTTTTTGGGTAATAATTCTGATTGTTAAATATTCTTCTTAGGTATTCCACGCGGACAAAGTCGAGGTCATAGCTAATTGTACATAAAAAATGCATCCAATCTTAACTGGGGCGCTGTCAGCTGTATTTGAGTAAAACAATAAACGATGCTGATAGCGACAGATGCGATAATCCCGTCCTCGTTTCAGAGATAGTCGGCCTGCAGTCCGTTATAAATGGTAACAAAACATCAAGATGTAAACGAACGATAGATTTATAAAACACAAGCTGTTCCTGCGGTTTCGACCGCGTATAATAATAATTTCAAGCTTCTAAAAAGTAGCCTACGTCCTTTCTTTGGATCTAGACTGTGTGTACCAAATTTTATTTGACTCGGTTTAATTGTTTTGGCGTGACACACTAGCGGATAGAGTAGAATTTACTAGCATTAATTATTTACAAGAATTATATTGAAGTATACAAAAATATAAAATAATATAAAACACATTATTCTAAAGTAGCATAAACTACATAGTATGTTCATATATATAATACAAAGATAGCACTCTGGCGAGGTTAATAGAATCCTAAATCAATAAATTCTAAAATAGCTGTAGTAATTGATAACTATAAATGTATATTGCATTAATTTATGGCAAATTGTAGATAATGTATAGCAACGCTATTTTTTATTCTGGAGTACCTATATTATTACCTGAAGGCAGTCTTTGACAATAGAACTTAACTAATGTTTAAATGTATAATTTAAATTAATTATGGCCGAATGCCGACCACTGTGCGCCTACTAGTAATATTTTAAAACACAATTGTAGAATTTGAATCTCAGTGAAATAAGAACAGTTCCCGCCTCCTCAATGCTTGATCTTCTACAATGGATCGCTTGGGGACGATCTGTTATGCAGGTACGTATTAAGGATTTTTTTCTGTATATTAACTGAAATCACAAATAAGTTTATGATCCACCTGATTGAAAGTGGTTCTCGCCTATATATATTTTAACATGTATATGCGAAAAATGTATATGTATATATAATAACAAAAATAAACCTGAACAATTCACACAGCGCCGTCTAGTCCCAAGCTAGAGATTGTGTTATAAGTACTAGACAACTGATATCAAAACACAATTATATTTTTTTTGTAAATACATTCACACATATTATACTTAGAAAACACCCAGACCAATACAAACAATCGTACTCATGAATTCAAATGTTCACACCAAGCAAGAAATCGAACCGGCAATGATTGGAAGTAAGGCCGTGTGCCATACCGCTAGACCATTGAGGCCAAAAACCATTAGTACATTAAGGAAAGTTTCACCTGGATATCTAATTAACTTGTACAAAGTTTACGTGAGCAAAATTTACTCTAATTGGATTGGTATTTAACAGTTTTATAGAATTAAGGCCAGTGCAGATTGTCTCTGAATATTTGGTGGACATTAAATTTCTCATTACATTTACCGGAATCTCATTATACAGGCTTTTT